GGTATGGTGATAGCTGATACCTAGAATTATCATGTATATAAATGTTAAATCACTGTGTTGTACACCTGAAACTAATGTAATACTGTGTGTCAACTACCCTTCAATAAAAAAATAAATAAATAAAAAATAAAAAAAGTAACACCTATGTCATAGGGGTATTAGGAGGATTCCATTGGTTTATTCATGAAAAGGCACTTGGAACGGTGCTTCCAATTTAAGAAGTACTTTGTACTTGTTAGCTATTATTATTATTATTATTATTATTGCTGGTGGTTAAGAGTTTTCTGGTGGCCAGAAAGCCGACACACACAGATGACAAACGGGTTCTGAGGCTGCGAGCCTAGCCTCCAGATGATCACGTGGAGGACAGAAGCCTTAGCGGCCTCTGGAACAGGATGGAATGTCCACTCCCCGGGGCCCACCGGCAGTGACCGCTGCTTCCACATCACAGGCTTCCCAACAGAGGCTGGGTCTGGCCAGTGACGGTGACATGCCCCAAATGGGAATCCTCATTCTGGCAGTCCCATCAGGTGGGTGCTCGGAAGTACAGGTGGGGCCCCATTGGCCACCGGGCGAGCCTCCCTCACGTGAGGGCCTCAGTTTGGAATCACCAAGGGCAGCTTCCTTCACAAGAGTGGGTGACCATCTCCAGGGAAAAGGGAAGCCACTGACTACGGAGCGACAAGGCCCATTTTCAGTGGCTCTGAATGGCAGTGAGAAGCAGAGCTCAGTTCTCTCTCCGCTACAGGTGGGTGCAGACAAGTGCCCACCCCTGCCCTCCTGGGTGATGGAGAGGGAGAGCTATCGACAGGGTAACCCTAAATCCTCAACTGAGAAAGAGGAAGCAGCTCAAGTAATAAGAAAGACAAGTGACCATCACGTACCCTGAGTTCACTGTGGTCACATCCATGACAGCACCTGACATCCCTGCAACATTTCCATGGCATTTTCTCAGGAATATACCTACGGAGTCTCTCCTGCACTGGGAGAGACTTTTTGAGGTTCACCAGCACAGCAGCTGGGCTGCATTTACCCCCTCCGGCCTGCAGGAGGGCTTGGGAATGCACAGCAGCAGACACTTGGCACAAGGAGATGGAGGGGTGTCCCGAAACCCACAGCTGTGTAAGACCAGCCGCCGCTCCCCGCTGCCGCCCTGTAAGGGGCTTGTGGGAAACTCAGCCTGCAATGGCATGCACAGCAATCAGTGCCATATTCTCACCAAGTATCCCTAAGCATGCCAACTCTGAGACCTAGAAAGGGGACATTCACGCTGCTGTCCTGCCTGCTGGCCTCCCCTCCCCGAGCGCCTGATTGTCACCTGACGAAGGTGGTGAAGCGTTCTGCAATGTCCCCAGGGGGCCACCAACTGGAGACCAAAGCAGCTCCGCAACCCACAGAGCCTCAGGGACATCGCATCTTCACTCAAGCGCACCAAAGTCCTGCCATCGCACCTACTGGGCACCAATCTCAATAGATCACATCTTACCCCCACACTGTAGGAACCATGCTCCTAAACTCCTAAGACACTTGTGATGACAGAAGGTGCCCTCTTGGGATCAGCTGGAGCAGAGGGACACACACAGAGAAACCCCAGAGCGAAATCTCAAATGGCAGCACCTCGATCTGGGCACTTAAATGAGTTCCGCTAGACCCTTCCGCAGAGGACGGCTGGAGGGCACATGTCCTGAAATTCATTCTTGAATAACTTGCCAGACCACCATGCCTGAGATGCAGGCTGCCCCCATGTGTTAATCAGAATAAGGCTCCCTCTCCCCATCTCCAAGGACATCCACCAACTAGTCCCAGCGGCCACTGAGTATATCACCCCACATGGCAAAGGGGACTTTGCCCTCTGACTAAACCGCAGGCTCTGACAAAGAAAGCATATCTTGGATTATCTGGGGGAGGGGGAGAACCTTGCCCGGCTGTGGTCAGAGGCCTGTGTATCACAGAAAAGTGGTCAGAGAGATGCAAAGTCACTGGCTTTGAAGATGAAGGAAGGGGCCCCGAGCTGAGGAATATGGGAGGCCTGTGGCAGCTGGAGAAGGCAGGAAAATGGACTCTCCACTCGGGCCTGCTGACACCTTATTTTGGCCCAGGGAGACGCATGTCAGATTCCTGGCCTCCAGGACTGTAAAATATTAAATCTGTGTGCGCAAACCTACTAAATTTGTGGTAATTTGTTACAGCAGCAATGAAAAAAAAGGCCCCCAGACAAATGGTAACAGACCTGAAAGCCCATGGGTGGGGCCTCGGGTCACTGGTGCATCCGCGTGCTCCTTCCAGAAGCCATGCCGGGCCGGTGGCCCTGAATGCTGCCTTCATGTCCAGGCCCGTCCCTGCCTCTCGCACGCCCTCCCAGGACGCAGTCATGCCCTCACGCACAGTGGCCCCTCTCAGTTCTTCTGAGTCTCGGCCTGTCACAGGAGCTATGAATCCATTTGCTCTGTCTCCCCAGATCCCTCCAAGGACACAGTGAACACAGGCCGCAGGGTGGGCGACACTGGGGTTTAAGCGTCCACTAAGCAAGACCCCATTCCACTACCCAAGTTTCAGACCAGTTGGGAGGCAAGCATTTCTGCTTCACCACCAGTAGAAACAGACTGAAAACATGGCTTGAACCCCACAACCAGAAGGTCCTGTCCACACTGCCTGCGCCCCACGTTCCCTGCATGGGGCGCCCACCGAGGAAGAGCTGGGTCTCTGGGACAGAAACCCTTGGCCGACACTGCTGTCTCACGCTCGCCAGGACACAGAAGGAAGAAAGAGGGGGCAGGGCCTCAGAAAGCGAAACTTCAAAAATAAATTGGTTGCAGCCAACTGAGAAAACTGGACTTAAAGAAAAAAAAACACCATCCCGATCTCACTTAGATCTCCAGAATTTCCTTCTAGTCCCTGTCACTCTGATTTGGGCAAACATCACAAACAAGGGACACATGTCGAGTGGAAAACGGGATTCATTACTTCTGATATTTATTTTTCATTTTCACATTTGTAAAGCAAAATGCCTGAATTTTACTGTTTAGGGCTGATGGGAATAGAATAAGAGTAAAGTTTATAGACCGTTCCTTAGGCACGGCGCTCCTCAGTCACCTCAGGGTTTCTGACCACGTTTACCGAGGGCGGGACAGGTGGTTTTAGCAGGAGAAACGCATTAGACCAGTGCAAGCCTATGCCCTTCCTTTAGGACCTTCAGAAAATAATTCTACATCTCTCAGCCCCAGGCCCCTTATCTGCAAAAGAGAAACAACCACACCTCGTTGGCCTGCGTTTCGGAGACAGCGTGAGGGTCGATGAGGCACTGCACATAACAGCACTTTGAACTTTGGAAACATCCACCCATATTATGCAGTGTTTCTATGAATTCAGGAATTATTAAATGCTTACCAAATTAGATCATAAATGTGACATGGCCCCAAACTGTAGTATAAATGGAAGGTATGAGATGTGCAAAACCTGTTGTCAATTAAACAAATCTTTAAATTTTCCACACAGGGTACCAAGAGGCCATTGACTTCCCAGTACATGTTATAATATCTAACTTAAAACATGAAGGTATTTTATTGGATTTCCTATTTTTATTACAGAACTTACATGATTGCTGCATGTCTTGTAGCGAATATTCTGCCCTTCACAGTTCCTAAAGGAAAAAGAAAATAATGATGTCGTAAGAGTAGCGGGCAGCAAAAATAAATAACTGAGACCCAAACAAGGTGCTGGTAAAACTTGCATATTTGCATATTACCCACTAAAGGCTCAGACTTTAAATTCTAAGAAATAACTCTCAAGAATCAGGAGGCCAAAATGTCTCATGCAAGTGTCACTTTAAAGTCACAATAAATTCCTTATTTGAATTACTGTAAGGGCAGCATTCACATGCAGCTTTTACCCCGGAGTCTGTATAACCACCGACACTGATGTAGTGTGTGCGTGTGTGTTCATGAGAGAGACGTGTGCATATGTGCAGGGTTCTTCCTGTGAGAAAGAAGGGAAAGCTACAAGCAGAAGCATCTGTGGAGTGTGTCTCTGCAGGGGAATTTCTCTTCCCGCTGCAGATGTAGCCTCAGGTAGCTGGGCACCACGACCTCCTTCTCTACTGGGTACAACAGCCTCTGTTACCAGTTTTCTCCAGACAGAGCTTCTATATTTAATTTCAGCCCCCAGCCTTACAAACTGGATGCTACAGAACTGTGATGGGGTGGCTCTCTTGGGATGATGGTACTGTAGGGTCTGCAGCCTTACACACAGACAGGCTTGAGACCCTCCCAGGAATGACAACATACCCCATGCTTCCCCCAGCCCCGGGCTCCAGGACCCTGTCTCGGTCCCCAGCTGTGTTCCGGCGGGTGTTTGGAATTCAGTCTGGTAGGTACTCTTCTCAGGCAGCGCTCGCTGCTTTATATTCTAAGTTATCTCCTTACGGATATCTGATCTACAAATGGTACTTTTCAATTACATATTTTTATATTTTCCTGGTCAATTCCACAGCAAATTTGGAGCAAGGGGAGCTAAACACAGACTTCACTTACCATCTTGAATTATAAGTCAATAGGTGCTGCTTCAATTGTTTAAAAATATTTAGTCCTAGAAGAATACAAAATTTTAAAAACTGGATCTGAGGACATCATTTTTTGCTGGTATGATTTAAATATGAACCTATATGAAGGGATTGAGAGAGTCTATTTCAGCAATATATAACTCATTGCCCATAGTTTCTGATGATGCTATTTTTATTGATTACAGAAAGAGTAGGTGAAAACTATGTGCCAAGAAGGAGAAAGAGGAAAATTGATCACTGAAAATGCCATCATCCAAACTTTCACTCTGAATGTTGTTGGCATTTAATCTTCCACCATTTCTGCATTTACAGATGTGAAATCATACCGCTAATTCAACTTGACATTTGTTTTAACTTACTATAGTAAGCATTTTCCCATTTTATTAATAATTCTTTGGGAAATTTATTTTAATGACTACATAATGGCCCACTATACAGACTCTGCCTTTTTTTGTAGTTTTGAATTTGAAGTTTTTAAAAATTATGGTAAATACACCTAACAGAATTTACCATCTTAACCATTTTTAAGTGCATGATTCAATATTGTTAAGTAAAAACATATTGTGTAGACATTACCTTCTTGGGTCATTTATGCTGTGTTTTCCCCCTAGTTTTAAAATTGACACACAGTAAAATTCCCTCCTTGGGGTGTACAATTCTGAGTTTTGGCAAACCCATACAGTTGTGTAAGCATGGCCACAATCAATATGCAAGACAGTCCCTCACCCCATACACACCCTCAGGCTATTCCCTTGCATTTGGCGTCCCCACCCTCAGCCCCCAGCGACACCAATTTGTTCCTGTCCCAGTGCCTTTTCCGGAATGTCATATTGACAGAATCATACAGTATGTAGTTTTTTGAGACTAACTCCTTTCAGTTAGCATAACACATTTCAAATCATCCATGTTGTTGCATGTGTCAGCAATCTGTTCCTTTTTAACTGCTGAGTAATATTCCCTCATATGTACATACAAGAGTTTATCTACTCACCAGCTATACATTTGGGCTGTTTCCAGTTTTTGCCATTATGAACAAAACTGCTGTAAACACTCACAGACAGGTTTCATATAAACATAATTCCTCATTTCTCTTGGGTAAATAAGAAGTAGGATTGCTGTTTTATTTTTATTTAATAATGCTTTGCTAAACACCTCTTTGTTTTCATTTTTGTTTATAATTAGAATACATATCTATAAGTAGATAAAAAAATGCCCAGTCCTTTTATCATAAGACATTGTCACATGTGAGATTTTAACATTTGCTTGGCTGTTATCTGACTGGGTATTTTCTTCCAGAAGGGCCCGTGGCTAGAACATTACCAAACCTTGCACTTCACATCGGCAAGGCAATGCGGCAAGATATTATATTACTTTATACAAGATCCTTTTTCCTTAAAACTGTAGACATGCTCCATAGACCTTTGACATTTAATCATACAGAGGAGAAGTCTGATTTTTTTTCTTTTGTACATGTACTCTATTTTTCCACTGGGAAGCCTATGTTTGATTTGGTTTGTTGGTATTTGAAGTAAAAATTATTGTCAGGCCGTATTTAGTTGTGTGTTTCTTTTCCTGGATTTTGGATGAAAATGGCGAGCCCTTTGGTTGGGACACTCAGGGTTTCCATGCGCAGGGCTGTTGGGGGTTATTCTCAGCAGCACCTCGATGACTGATTGCTGCCTACCCAGGAAGGCCTACCGTTCTGAGGGAGCTCCCTCTGCTCCCATTATTTCTTTGTCCATCTATCTAGGATTTTCTCTTACCCACATCTCATTTCTTTGACCTTCTTTTATTCTTCCAAGAAGTTTCCTACAGATGTTCTTCCACCTGACTGGTTTTCTTTTCCTGTAGTGATCACTTTATATTTCACTGCACCTGATATGCTTTTTTGATACTGGTTTTCCCTTTCTATGTCTTCACAGTCCTTCCCAAACTCGCCCGGCCCTTCTCCATTTATGTCTCGTACCATCCTCACCTTACTTGCTGTTCCAATTGCAGTGTGTACCCCTAGTTACCTCACATCTGTTTTCTGGGAGGTTCAGTCCCTAATGGGTTCAGAGGACATGCGGGAGAAAGAAGCTTTGCAGTGAAAAGAAGAACATGGTAGCTGCCTCCGAAAGCATGACCTAAATGATAGTTGAATTTCTGAACTTGAAGACAGAAAAGGTATTCAACAAACTGTCCCTTTTTAATACAGTTCTCATGACTTGTGGACTAGAATATCTTCCCAGATTATCAGAACAGGTTGACACAGTCAGTATTTTGGAACACTGTAGAGTTGACTCTTGAACAACACAAGGCTTAGGGGTACCCACCACCCCAAAACACAGTTGAAAATCTACATGTAATTTTTGACTCCCCCAAATCTTAACTATTAGCCTCCCATTGACCAGAAGCCTTACTGATAACATAAACAGTTGACTAACACATATTTTGTATGTGTATCATATACCATATTTCTATAATAAAGTAAGCTAGAGAAAATGTTTTTCCTGTCACAAATCTCCAAAAATGTTTCCAATATATTTATTGAAAAAAAATCCATGCGTACGTGGGCCCACACTGTTCCAGTCCATGTTGTTCAAGGGTCAATTGTGTATTTCCATTTTTTGTGACCTGTCACAGGTATAGGACTCTGAAATTTATTAAACTCTTGATGAGGCTACATCAAATTTTAAACACCCAAGAAGCCCCAAGCTGGCAGGCTGACAGGAAAACTGTATTAGGGCTGAACTCAAGTCTCTCTCTTGGTCAAAGGGAAATGATTCCTTTCTCCTGAGATAAAACACTTATGCCAGGAGACAAGGTCATTTACTTCCATGACTTATTTCATCATGCTTTTTATGTGTGGATAAAAGAAGAAAATAAAGGAGAGAAAAAATGAAAGGGTAATTTAAGGTACTCTGCTTATTAAGGAAAGCAGCTAATAGACTAGGAAAGTGACAACTAAAAGCTTTTTGCACCAGGCTGACTTATAACCCACACAAAATATTTTTACTCTAACTTCAAGGGGGCAGGCAAATTATAAGACACTTTGTAAGAGAATATTTGAATTGATCTAAATACTGGAATACAAAACCTATTGAAACTTACAAAGAATGCCATTTTCCTTTAGAACTGCTTTAGAGCTTCAGAAATAATTTTTCAGATGCATTTTTACTAAATGTGTCATTTTAGCTATTGAAGTGAAAACAATACTTTAGTAAAAAGAAATTAAAACTACAAGGGAAGAACGTATCAGTTGACAGCTTATGATTTTTGTCTCAGGTCTGCTGTGTAGACCACAGTCATGGTCTACACCCGCTGCCTCCTATAAGCCTAATATCCAGCAAGCACTAAATAACATTCTGAGTGTTGAGACTGAAAATCTAACCCTAAAATGTGAGTACATTCTCAGTACAAATCCCACGAAAACTGCAGTGAAGTGACATGCAAAAAGCATTTTGCCTCATGAATTCTCAAAATACAAAGTACCATTTTGGACTCCTTCTGTCACCAACAACTTCTTCTAGTGAACCTACTATGTACCAGGAGGCGAATCTAAAGATGCAGAGAGATGCTCTCCATTCCCGCTAACAAGTCAGTAGTAATGGTTTTATTTTTAACCCAACCATCTGGCCAATATTTTTAATGTCCGGCTTCACTTTGTCTAACCTAACACACTGAAACCACTACCTGGCCTCGGTCACAGTCTAGTATGAAAATGAATGACCACTTTATGAAACAGGCACAAAATGAAATGCAAGTTATTTTAAAGCTAAGGACATAGGAGCCCTAATTCCCCAAGCAGGAACCTGCCAGCTTATTCTGGAAATAATTCCATTGGCCCAGAGCAATTGAGCTGCAGAAATATGACTTACAAGTTTTAATTTCAGTCTAATTATTATATGTAAGAGCTAATGGCCATCGGGAGTATATGAAAATTCAAGGTCATTTCACAATTATGTATTTTCAATCCATTACAACATTTGTAACACCCCGATATTGAAGATTTTTGAAGCCATAAATTTATGAATATATAAAAAACATATGTTGATTCCACATGAGGATACATTAAAAACATTAATAAAATTTCTCTGGAG